TATATATATATATATACATGAAATATGTCCATATATACATGTCTGTACATCTTTTTTTTTGTAAAATTTTAGTGTATTTAAAATCATAACAATAATGAATACATTTAAAAATTAAAAGGATAATTTCCCCATTATTTGTTTTAGAAGAAATCATGTTTAAAGAAATGCAAAAAAATCGCTGATCATTATATGCAAAATTATATATAATTATGTATAAGTAATTTTTTTTACATTTCTCTAAACTTGACTTTTTCTAAAACAAACAATGCAAAAAATTGTTTCTTTAATTATTTTTCTTATTATTATTTTCTTATTATTATTGTTTTTATTATTGAAAAGTAATTTTACAAAAGAAAAAAGAATATATGAAATGTATGTGGACATATATAATTATATAGGAATTATAGAGGAAAGTCGCCGATATTGACATATCATTTTATTTTTGGACAATATTTCTTAAATAAAAGGTAAAAATAAAACTTTAAAACATAAATACAAAATAAAAGTGTCTTCTATTTAGATAGTATAAGCAGTTTTTATAATACTGTTTGTTTATAATACTATTTGCAATTTTGTAATAATTTTTTTGTAAGATAAGCAAAAATGATTGCCTCACAAAATGAATTCTAAAACATAGTAGGCAGTTAATACTATGTATTCCTATTCTTTTTCTTTTATAGGAATTATCTGTATAATACACCTACAAGTAAATGTATATAAGATTTTTCAGAATTTTTTCACTTTGTTATAAAATATTTTTATTGAATTATATGCATTATTTTATGCTATTCTACAATATGCAAACGTATGTAACGCGATAATTTTTAAAAAATTTTCCTATATATTCACAATTGTCTTCAGGTCCAATAATTTGACACTATAAAGCAATATAAATTAAGTTAGCTCATCTGTTTTACGGGCAGGTGGCAGTTTACGCTACTTCAATTTTAAAATATTATGAAAAAAACTAAAAAAGAAAAAATAATATAAATAAAATTGATTTAAGAAATTACAAGCATTTAAAACGATGTAACATCATATCAATATATCTCTATTATTTAAACTAAGCAAATAGCAAAAAAAATTAATTGTAAGAATTCTATTTTCGTTTTCGTAGAGTTCGTTTTTAACTGATTTGATATACAAACAAGCCACAAATGTATGAATTATGAGTTTGTATTTCTTCAATTAGCTAAACAGATCACGATTTTATTAATAAAGTGCAATAGTTAATTTCTGAATATCAATCATTAAACTTTTTTCCTAGAGCGAAAAGTAAAAAATGAAAAATTTTTCCATTAACTTCAATGGTTAAAATTTGCACTGTTTACTTTCCATCTAGGGATAAAGTTTCATAATTGGGCGCCTGAGAAATAAGGGGATGTCTTTTTAAGGTTGTGATCAAAGTCTCACTACAAATGCTTTGAAGCATTTGATGGATCAATTAGAAGAAAGAATTTTATAAATTAAAAAATGCTTCAAAACGTTTGCGTGACCCTAGCCTAAGAGACCTATGTCAGTGTACATGAATACGTGCGTGTATGTGTCACTTTCCTT